GGTGTGTCCCTGACCCTGGTTACGCTCGGCGCTCAGAGTGGTCTCCCCAGAATCGAAGAGGTGGGAGCAGCATGAAGGGGCCGCCCCACTTCAGCTGACTCCTGGCGCTCAGTTTCCTTATGCAGAAGCGGGGCTCAGGGCCCCCCGCCCCCCGGCCCGCAGGCCTGCACAGCGGGGCCAGTGCCGTTCCCTGTGTTCCTGCCGCGTGCCCGCCGCCTTCGCGTCCAGGCTCCTTGGCCGCTTCCTGACCGGGGAGGTGGGGCTGGGGCTCCCCACTCGAGGCCCTGGCCCCGCGCCAGGCCCGAGGTGCCAGGCCTGACCTGCCTTCCCGGGCGCTCACTCGGTGCCGGCCCCACAGCCCTGTGCCCGAGCTCCCGCGCCCCGGGGGGGCCAGCTCACAAAGGGGAGCTGAGCCGGAGAGGAGACACTTGACCAAGACCCCGCCGATGCCAGGACGTGGCGCTGGACCCGGGTCTGACTTGAGGCCCCTGGCCTGGCTCGCGGTGGCCGGTGGAGACGGCTGCGCCCGGGCTCCCTCTTGCAGCTGCGGCCCCTGGCTAGTGACCACAGGCGCCCAGCAGGCCCGTCCCCCCCACCTGACCACGCCCCAGCTCTGGAGCCCGAGCGTGGGAGCTCCCGTCCCGACGCCCCCCTGCCCGGCCTGCTGTCCCGGTGCCGTGGGCTGGTCAGCGCCAGCGCGGGGCCTGCAGCCTCGCCACGTCCACCTGGCGGCCCTGCCCCGCACTACCCAGTGAGGGCCAGTGGGTCGGTGCACCAGGTCTGCTCTGGAATAGCCAGGGGCCGCCTGGGAGCCGGGGCCCTGGCTCTCTTTGGGGTGTAAGTCACACCCCAAGCTCACGTGGCGTGTTCCGCAGCCTGGGCTTCGGAAAGACCGCGGGAGCGTCTCAGGGCCCCCCGACCCCCGCTCCTGGGACTGACGCGGGCGGGGCTGCAGCCCACGCTGGCCGCCCCGTGCCCGGCCGCTGGGGCAGTGCCCTCTTGCTGTGCCGTGGCCCGTCGGAGCGGGGTCTTCTCTGAGCCTTCAGAAAACAGCGGCGAGACAGTCAGGGCCGGGGCTGGCCGGGGCTGGCCGGGCCCTTGTACCTGGCGTGACCCGTGGCGGCCGCAACCCGGCCAGGTTCGGTCTTGACAGCCCGGGGGGGTGCTCAGGGACCCCACTCCACAGACAGGAGGCCGCCCCAGAACACGCAGCCTTCTGATGCCAGGCGGCGTCGCCGGGCACCGGTCAGGTGACAAGGGTCCGGCGTTGTCCTGAGAAACCAGTGCTGAGTTCTGGGCGGGGCCACCCCCGGTCACGGGCCAGGTCCAGACGAGCTCAGCTGGGTCCGGCGGGGGGCCCGTGAAGCAGCAAGGCCGGAGGCCCCCCGCAGCGGGCGGGGCGGCCAGCTTACGGGGCCGGGCAGGCCCAGGGGTCAGAGCTGGGGTGCAGGAGGAGAGGGGGGACGCGCTGGGCGCCCGGCCACGGCCGTGGGGGTAGGGTGGCTGCCGCAGCAGGGGCGGCCCCCGCTCAGGTGCCGGGGGGCAGCAGTGAGCGTGGACGGTCCGGCGCGACCTCCCCACGGAGCGGCCTGCCCTCTGCGGTGCCCTCAGGGTCACGGGTACTGGGGCGGCCAGCGCCTGAGTGCGGGAAGG